CATGTGCCTGCAAGTCAGTCTGTTCAAGATTTGCTCCTAAATGGTAAGAGCTATGAACACCAAATTTGGTATGCAGCTTCCTCTTATAGCAGCTAAAAGCAAGGTAATGATTTGGCTGTGCCAGAAAAACAGGAAGCTCTGAGAAAGGGACTGTTTTCCAAAACATGGAAAGGGACAAGCAGAGAAGAGGGACGCATTATTCACAATGACCACTGTGGACAGCGAGCGCAGGGGACAGCTATACTTCAGAGTGACCAATGTGGGGAGCCACACTAATAAGTCACTGGTTAGCTGCGGACACACAGCAGGTAAGTGGCCTCTCTGCCCCAAATAACAGGGGGAGAGTTTCCTACCTCTCAACCATCACCCAGGAGACCTGCTCACTCCCTGAGGAGAGGCCAAGAACCATGTCCAGACCCCCCCGGACGAGAGGCCAGGGCCTGGAACCATAACCTGGCCCTGGAGAGGTCGCAGATCAGCTACAGGACTAGAGGAGGCAGGCTGGAACCAGCCCTTAGAGCCTCTCTTTCCCCCAACCAATTACATGGCTGGAGGGAGCAGGTGCAGTCCAGGGACAGCTTTTGGAGACTCCCAACCCCTTCCCCTCCCCCCTTCCTCGATTAGCTGCAAGGCCCAAGGCCCTGCCCTGACTCCTGCACCCCTCACACCCATAACCCCCTGTACTGAGCCCCTCAATGACCCAAGCTAGTACAGTTATATAGTTGCTAAGCATTATTGTTACACAGTATGACACAGTATGGGACAGATTCTCTCCCATATCTGAGCTCCACAGGATATAGAAGAGTGGGTATGGGACCATTAGGGATCAAGTTACAGCTTTCTTATTCTGTGGACTACAAGATCTCATCCCAGTCCCTTTCCTATCCAGTCCTGGGTGACAGTGTCTTAAGCCAACTCTGCAAGCTTTTAACTAGCTGACAGTTTCCCCACAACCAGTGGAATTTTTTGCTGGGCAAATTATATCCTGGATTAGGGATGTTAAATTTCAATTAATCAGCTAATCGAGAAGTCAGTGGAATTTCCATCAACTACTCAATTAGTTGATAAGGGGAAGTTGGAGCGCTCGCTATCCTGGCTGCACCTCTACCTTTTAAATGTAGTAAGAGCTGCCCATGGCTTTTACTAGATTTAAAAGGAAGAAGAGCAATGGGGAACCCTGGGCAAGCAGGGACTCAGGCAGACCTCGCTCGCCCTGGTTCTGACTGTTGTGCTTCTGCCTTTGAAATGTAGCAAGGGTCATGCAGGGCTCTTGCTACATTTCAAAGGCAGAAGCGCAGAAGTCGGGACCCAGCCAAGTGGAGACTGCTTTAGTCCCCACTCACGGAGTTTCCCTGCCCCCCTGTGGAGATGGTGCTGGGGGAAAATTGGCTTTTAAGTTGGTTCCCCCGGCATTGGCTCCTCCTTGCTGCCTCTCTCTGATAAAGGCAGCAAGGGACGGGGGGAAGGGGAGGGGACAGAGGAGAAGCAACTAGTTGGGAGTCACTACTAGATTACCCAAGAAGCATATGCTTATCGAGTGATCGAGTAGTCACTTACATCCCTATCTGAATCCATCTTCCTTTCACTGCATGAGTGGTATAAAGGAGTTATACCTCAAAATAGAAATCTCACCCACCTAGAATACCTCATTAACATAACATATGCAATCAAACAGAAAAATCAAGCTGTGTGTTTAAAGTATGCTGAATAAAGTAAAAACTTACAGTGGCCTTATGAAATGTTGCCCACACAGGAAATTCAGAAGATGCACTACAATATTTCTGCACCCATGACAATACCACTCATAAGTCTGAAGGAGGGATGCTCCTAGAAACCTTTTCCAGTTCAGGAGTTCTGGAGTTTTTCAGACAATGGAATGGGTGGGTTGGTCTGTTCTGAAAACAGGGATGCACCCTTCAAGAGAAGATCCTGGACTGACTGCTTGACTTTCAGTGGTAATCCTAATCAGTGTTTCCTGTGAATTGTGTGCTTGTGTACTAGAGTACGTCTAGACTACAGGCTTTTGTCGACAGAGGCTCTGTTGACAGATACTGTCAACAAAGCTTCTGTTGACAAAGAGCATCTAGACTACATCCAGTTCTGTCAACAAAGCAAGCCGCTCTGTCGACATGAGGAGTGTAGACGCAAAGGACAGCATAGATGCAATAACACCTTCTGTCAACAGAACTCTGTTGACAAAAGGTGTTATTCCTTGTAGAATGAGCCTTACCTCCGTCGACAAAACTGCTGAGTTCTGTGGACATTATGTTGACAGAACTCGGCAGTAGTGTAGATGCAGGTATAGTTTTGACAACAAAAGTCCACTTTTGTTGAACAAACCTTGTAGTCTAGACACTCCCCTAGAGTCCCAAAAGTTGTAGTTGTACCTTCCCAAAAAGACACGTTTGTTGGAATGCAAAACTGTAACCCATTCACTGAATAAATCTTCTTACTGAACAGGTCTAGCTTCTTAAAGTCCTTTTGCTCTGGAGTCATACATAACTACTCATATCTGTCTCTCTCATGCGCCGCAGTAAGCACCAAAGACCTAGCAGAAGGGTAGGAGTACAGATATTCAGACTCATTGGCCAGTACATAATTTTTTTTCTTTGCTTTCTTTGAGGAGAGGCTAGGATGGGATCAGCCACAATGCTCTGACCAGACCCGTAAGAGTCTCATTGAGAGGTATGGCCACTTTTGATGGGGCAGCCATGGCCAATATATCAATGGTTCTGCCACGTCTTTAAAGAAAACAATTTGCCATGAACAGGATTAGAGTAAGTTTCTTAGGGCAGCTACTGAATTATCCAGCTGTGCTGATGAAACCATCACAAGGAAAAGCATGGGTAAATAAAGCAAATATTTTACAGTGTTCATTTTCATACATTACTATTATCAGTTAATTGTTGCTTCTGAGTGATAACTATTAATAAATTTATAAAGAACAGTATTAAGTACTTTTTGGTTAAGGCGGCAAAATCTAGTGTGATTTTATTCCACAATTATATTCTTAAATAATTATTTAACAAATCACTTTTGAAAGACTTACACATTTAAGCTCTAAGGGTACGTCTACACTAGCTCGTTAGTTTGAGCTAGGTTGGGTAATGAGGGCAAGCGAAGTTGCAAATTAAGCCCAGGATTTAAATATCCCAGGCTTCATTTGCATGTTCCCGGGTGCTGCCATTTTTAAATCCCCCTTAGTCGGAACTCCGTGCCCATGGCTATACGCGGCACGGAATAGGGTAGTTCGAATTAAAGATCCTAATTCAAACCACCGTTATTTCTCATTCCGCGTGGAGTAATGGTAGTTCAAATTAGGATCTTTAATTTGAACTACCTACTCTGTGCCGCGTGTAACCGCGGGCACGGAGTTTGGACTAAGGGGAATTTAAAAATGGTGGCACCCAGGAACATGCAAATGAAGCCCGGGATATTTAAATCCCGGGCTTCATTTGCAACTCCGCTTGCCCTCATTATCCTACCTAGCTCGAACTAACGAACTAGTGTAGACGTACCCTTAAGTGAGTACTGATTTAACATAAAAGTTAAACATTAAATGTAGAGAGATTGTTGTATTTCCACTATCATTGTTAAAGAGAAACATGAATTGGTAGGGAGAGGGTTTTTTTTCAACAAAACAAGCAGAGTTTTGAAGTTCTGCATTAAAACACAAAGTCCTAGTGGAAGATATTTCTCCTGGGAAATCAGAACACATGAAAAGCTAGACCAGATACTCTATTTGGAATGGATCTGTGTCTGCATTCAGAGACATAGCTCAATTGGTTACCCTACACGTGTGACAAAGGGAACAGAATTTAGCTTCTTCTATAACAGTGGTTTTCAAACTTTGTTCCTGGTTAAAGAAAACTGCTGATGCCTTCAACCCAACTGATCAGGGGATGAGGGGTTTGGACTGTTGAAGAGGGCTATAAACTGAAGCAGTGCATGGGGGAGGGCAGGAGAGGCTTAGGGCTCTTAGCTAAGGGTACAGGCTCTGGGGTGAGGCTGTGTTTGGGGGACAGGAAAAGGCTCTGGGTATGAGCAAGGGGTTAGGGCACTGGACCGGGAATTAGGCATTTGTGGTGCAGGAAGTAGCTCCAGGTTTGGGGAGGGGCTCAGTGCTGGAGCAGGGAGTGGGGCATGGGCTTAGCTCAGGCATTTCCTGGTCAGCAGCGTAGCAGAGATGCTAACGCAGACTTCTGACCAGTCCTGGAACCATAGACTACTGCGTCTGGAGAGCAGCCAGCAGCAGGTCCACCTTCTAGGTAAAGGTGCACAAGTGGCTCTGTGAGCCATCTCACCCATTCAATTGGCGTGTGGAGTTCATGCTCAAGGTGGGGCTAGCGCGCAGAAACCCAGGGCTCCTCTGCCTAGGAGCTGGACTTACTGGCACTTTTGGAGCGCAGCATAATGTCAGATCAGGTACGGACAAGTGTTTTTTAAAGTGTGGGTTGTGACCGAGATTTAGCTGGCTACCAGGATCCTTGGTGCTTTACATTCTGTGACCCTGTGCTGGATCATGAAACAGAGTTTGAAAACCACTACCCTTGAACACAGAATTGTACCACTTGAGAAACCGGACAAAAGCTCTTTAAGCTATCAACAGTTTTATCATCTGCAAGCAAGCCACTAGAGCAGTGGTTTTCAAAGTTGGCTTGTGGACCTGCCTAGGTAAACACTGCCTTGTGGATCGGCCTGGGCCCACAACACTTAGACAAAGCACCCACAGCCACAGAGCCTCCCAGCTCCTATTTGTTGCAGTTTGCTGTTTCCAGTCAAGGGAAGCTGTGGGATGCTATGTGGCCCAAGTCACCGCTTCCTGTAGCTCTGCTTGGCTGGAAACGGCAAACCGCAGCCAATGGGGGTTGTGAGGGTCCATGGCTACAGATACTCACATAAAGTGTTGCAGGCCCACTACCCAAAATTTGAAAACCACTGCACTGGAGGGTGGTAGCTCACACTTTACACACAATAAAAGTAATTTAGTTTTAAGATACCTGCATATAACACAGCCTCAATGCGGTCCTTGATGTGCTCAGAATTACTTTCTGATGCAAGTGGAAGATGAGATGTACCATTTGGAGATGGAACCACCAGAGGTCCTACTAAAAATGCACATGCTGCACCAAGATAATTAAGCAATGATGCAATAGCTGTTGCAGTAGCACGTTCATCCGGAGAAAACCAGGTAGTGGAGAGAAATGGAGCAGCATTCATTACAGTTGGACCTGCCAATCCATTTAACAGCTGCCCTCCATGAATCAATCTAGAAAGGAGAAAAGAATATGCAGACATTTACAAAGTAATTACTTAACCATTATGTAAGATATGGAATGTGCCAATATGTGTTACTCCACAGAAGGGATGCCGAAATCATTAGCAGAAAAGGAATATTCTATACTAAGAGAAGCAGGGCTACATTCATGAAGAATACAGAAGCTACTTTGTACTTATTAGCATTGAAGTGAATGGAGAAGTTAAATGTTCTCTTCAAAGAAGGAACGGTGAAGAGAATAAGAATGGGAGACTGTTTTGGAGAAAGGATAACATGATGGGGTATGAAGGAAGAAAGAGTCTTAGTGACAGTCAAGCTCCAAAATGTTAACCCTAACTCCATGTGTGTTATGCAGGCATGAGTCCCACAGAGTTTTAAACCCTTTAGTGGGTTTTAATTTTGGATCTCTCTCAAAGCCCCTTTGCATGTTTTCAGTACAATATACATTTCCACACTACAGCTTTACTCTAAAAGGCAGGTAAGATTTGGCCCTTAGTTGTTCTGACTCAGAATCATCTTATTCTACTATTTAGAACAGTGAAGTAGCAAAATACAAATTCCCTTTCATTTCCCCCATCCTCTGGTACACTCTCACCTCAGTTTAACAGATAAAGACTGGAAATAACAAAAAGGAGGCGGTAGTCCTATAGACACTGACCATACACAGAGAGCATGGGCACAGTCAGCATACACGGAGGAGTTTTTGAGGTCACTTGTAAACATGGAATTCAAGCCAAAAACCTTCCATTTTCACTTTTACAAATGTAATCAGACTTAAGATGCTAAGACCTTTTAGAATTTATAAAATACCTGAGATCTAAAAATCAGCCAGAGTCAAGCTAGTTATAGCAAACCACTCAAAATCATTTTTAATCTCCAAATGGGATACACCCTTTGTACTTTCAGATGAGAGCAAAGGTGATTTAAAGATTCATTTTGAGGAGTTTTTTAAAACATGAAACGTGAACCCTCTGTTACTTCTGCAAGAAGTCATAAGACACAAAGACATGGTCTAAAAATGGGAAACACAAGCCAAGCTAAATCAGGAGTTAGGCAACACTTCAAGCCACAAATGGCGAAATGTCAGTTTGTGGCATGAGCTTTAAAATGTACAAAGGAAAAAAAATCTCAGTGAAATGTCACTAGACAAAAATCTATTGAAACAGATGTCAATAGAAATGTCACTCATTTAGCAATAATTTCAATCCAAACTAGAAATGTATGAAAAATAATTCAGAGCACACAAAAAAATAAAAAACACACCGCCACATATTCAAAGGAAATATTTTACTGACACTGTACATGGGAGTTAAATTATATTAACTATTAAATAAAAGTAAACATATCTTCTATAAAAACTAACTATTAGAAGTGTTATCCTTTCTTTGTAATATAGAACTGAAGCTATACTATTTCATGCTGTGATTTAACAGATATCACAGGTTAAACAAGATCAAGCAAGTTCAATTCTTAGATTGGAGGTTCCGAGATAATTCCAAATAGTTATTGGCCTTCCATAACTGTTGCTCATGTTGCAGCCCTGCAAATGTCTTGGATTGGAATTTGGGCCAGAAATGCTACTGAAGAGTCCTGAACTCTCGTGGAATGAGCACTCAAGATGGCAGACAGTGGAATATTTGCTTGCATATAGCATGCCTGAACACAGGAAGTCATGGAGGATGATTGTGATGGTGCACCATGGCCCCACACTTTAAAAACCCCCCACGCTGGCCTGTGAAGGAGCGCCACAGCCCTGCACTTTAAACCCCCCCACGCTGGCCCGGTATGGAGGGCAGTGAGTGGGGGTACGTGCATGCGCGGCATACTCAGATGCCGCCAAACCGGTGGGAGGGAGAGAGGTAAGGCGGCATGCCAGATCTGGAGGGGGAGCGGTGAGTGAGTGCAGGCACAGTGTGTCCGCAGGCTGCCAATCAGCGGAGGGGGAGGATGTCCAGAGTGACATGGGCCTTACCCGACGTCGTAAGAGGGAGGAAGAGGAAAGGGGCAGGGGGTCACCTGACGGGAGCGCTGGAGCTTTAAGTAAGGAGACGGGAGTGAAAAGGGGTAGGTGAGGCCCAAAACCTAGGAAAGGGGGGAGAGGAAGCAGCCCAGGGCAGGGCATATGTAGAGCCACCACAGCACTAGGGATGGCGATGTGGCCCAATGAAAATTTAACTCCATTGCCTTCCCCTTACCCACCTTTCTTCTGCACCAGTAAGCACTCTCTCTCAGAGCAATGCTTTTTTATATTTTTTCCTCAGCACTAGAGATGGCAAACGATGCCAGGATATGCATGGTACCAGAGGACCACTTCGCACCAAGACCAAAGTGCTCAGTGCCGAATCCAAGTCTTAGCTCCATAGCTGGTTTAAGAGCAGCTTCTATTAGTAACGCCCTCAGTCTTGTCTCTCTTTCTTCACATGTTGCTTAAAAGAACTGCTAAAGCTGACAGCGCTTTCTTATGTGAGCCTCCTAAACACTCCACACAGGTGGAGTATGGGTCACTCGCAGGCACAGTCTTGCACAGAAGATATAAAGTTTGAAGCTAGTCTCAGGGATGAAGGGAGTCCTTCAACAATCAAAGAGGGGTTCCAGCTATCTCTATTAATATTATTTACAATATTTACATTATATTTATAAATATTAAAACTATGCTAAAATTAAAACTAGGATACAGAGATAAAACCACTGAAAAACTCCTTGCCAAAGTGAAGAGTTGTTCTAGCTACCATGAGGAGAGGTAAGGAACCAAAAAAGGGTGAAGGGCAAATGGTACCACCACGCACAGAAGCATGTAGCACTAAAGAGTGCGAGAGCTGGTCAAAGGGATAGGGCTGAGGGAAAAATATCAGGCAACAGTGCATGCAGCACACATGCACCTGTGGAATGGATATGATCAAGCTTGTGATTCAGCAGAGAGCTTAAATCAGTACTGAAATAATGCTCCAGAATGGCTTAAGTAGTAACGTGCTGTCTTTGAGAAAGTTGCAAAATTAAGACCTGTTATCTTTAGATTATGTATAATTATATCAATTACTTCAGAACTTCCAGTTACCACTTGGAGGACTGATAGGTTCTTGTCCCAGGATCAGGCACAGTATTTAAATTATTCCATAGTTGGGAACCCTGATATGCATAGTTTGCAACACTCACGCTATAGGAATTCTTGTATATTTACAAATATACTTTAACACATTTAGCACAGTCACAAACACCCAAACTTAACAGGATAGATACGGAATATACATCTACTCTTTCATAAATTCACTCAATTCCTTGTAGAATAACATGAGGCATTAATCATCATCTTCCTCATTACCATCATCTTCTCCACCATCACTAGGGGCCATCATTCTGGCATCTCCCAAGGACTACATCTCCTTCTCCGACTGACCCTAGGCTGGGATGTCACTTTTGTAAAACTTTATGCTGATGTCATGTGTGATGAATATTCAGTAGATGTATCCCTTTCTCTATAATTGCATTTTCTCACCTTATTAATGGTGAATATTTTTTTACTATAGATCAGTGTAACTTATTATATACATCAATTTGTTACTCTGGCCCCTTTCGTAGTTATGTCCTAATTGGTTATTCGGTCTGGTCTCAACCTATTTCAGGTTTTTCCAAGTTGTGGAGTACCTGTTAAGTTTGAGGGGAATACTTGGAAGCCACTATGCCATTAAAGATTGCTTTATCTCAACCCTATCCAGGTGAAAGGTCCTAAATACATGCATGGTGACTCTCTTGTCTAGGTGAAAGGGGTCAGACATATATAAGCCCACTATGTTATCCGGCTGAAAATCCCAGGCACAGATATACTAATTTTGTCTTAGCTCAACATGCAGGTTGGTCCTTTGTGTTACAGCCAAGCTACTTTAATATAAACTATTGTAACCTATTATAATAAACATATAATCAAGCCATAAGGAAATAAGAAATCTATAAGAAAAATATATGTCTCAGGAAGCTAACAAGTTAGCACTATATGCTACAAACATATTTTTGACTATATATCAGTGGTTCACAAACTTTTGTACTGGTGAATCCTTTCATGCAGCAAGCCTAAGTGCAATCCCCCTTTATAAATTAAAAACACTTTATCATTATATATGTTAGAGGCAAACTGGAATAAGAGTTGCAGTATGACAGCTTACAACTCTCGGTGTAATAACCTCACGACCACCGGGTGGAATCATGATTCCCCATTTGAGAACTCTTATAGTACAGGCAGTCCCCGGGTTACATGGATCCGACTTACATCGGATCCCTACTTACAAACGGGGTGAGGCAACCCTGCACTAGCTGCTTCCCCCCAGCAGACCAGGGAAACGCGGAGCGGCTTTTCTCAGCAGACACCTCAGCTTGAGAATAAAGGACTGAGGGAAGTGAGATGTGGGAGAATAAAACTGAGCTCTGGAGAAATGTTTGGCTAGAGTTTCCCCTACAATATGTACCAGTTCCGACTTACATACAAATTCAACTTAAGAACAAACCTACAGTCCCTATCTTGTACGTAACCCGGGGACTGCCTGTACATCATACCTGCTCTATTTGCCTCTTAGTCTTCTATAAAACCTGGTGTTATCCATTGTACACAGCCTATTTCTTTTAAATATTTGCATATTTTTTTCAAATAACAATATTTTAGGTTTTTAAATTTCAAACTTTATTCTCTCAACTATTTCAGCTTCCTGAGTATTGCCTGCTTCTAATGTCTCTGCATGTGTTTGCATTGTTAGTTTCATGTTATCCTTCATTCATAAACTTGTTTGAATTAACTTACTTTTCAAGGGAAAGCTCTCTAGCTTATCTCCAAAAGGAGACGGAAAAGATATTCAAAATATGATCCAATACATTCAGTAGTTATCTAGTAATATACACTAGGAGACAAATATATAGCAGCTGACAGAGAAATATGAACACAATAGTATCAGGGCTTTTGCTGTTTTGCTAGTCATTAACTAGATTTCAGTCTAAAAGACTATCAA